TTATAACCATTGTTAAATATCAAGTTTCTCACAATTTTAAACCCTATGATGTCAAGAAATTTGGTGAATTGACACATTCCTTTTCTTCTAAATTTACTTACCTGGTTTAGTGTACCAGGGTTGGGTATGAGATGAGTAAAATATAGGTGTCTAAGTGTCTTTAAAAAGGAATGCGATGGGTCAGGTGCCGTGGTTCACGCCTGTAATCCCAGTATGTTGGGAGGCTGAGGCCAGTGGATCATGAGGGGAGGAGTTTGAGACCAGCCTGGACAACAGAGTGAAACCCTGTCACTACTAAAAATACAACAGTTAGCCGTGTGTGGTGGCATGAGCCTACTTGGGAGGCTGAGGCAGGAGAATCACTTGAACCCAGGCGGTGGAGGTTGCAGTGAGCCTAGACTGCACCAGTGCACTCCAGCCTAGGTGTCACTGAGATTCCATCTCAAAAAAATTTTAAAAAGGTGTAATGATGTATTTTTAAAAAACAGAAAATAATCAATTGATTTAGTGAGATATGGTGCAAAGAAATCAAAATCCAAAGTTTATTTGGATTAATTGAGAATTTTACATTTGATTAACTCTCATACTTACCTGCCCACAGGGTCTTCTTTTATATGACAGAGCTAAAAAAAAAAAAAACCACATGGAATCATTTTTGAAGTGTTAGATTATGTTTATAATGCATATGATGACTGGCACATGCTAGTTACTCCATCAATCAGTCACAACTATTAGCATTAAGAAGAAAAAAAAGACAATACCAAAACAAAACAGGGTCTTATTATTTATACATGTTCGCTCCCAAAATATATTTACTAGAATTGTTAATCTTATGTGAATATTAGCGACTTCTACAGCTTCCTCAAATAATAGAAATCTCTAAAACACAAAATAGCAACCACTGATTTTCATGGGTAAAATTTTAACCAGTTCTTTAGCTCTGTGTCTCTGCTGAGCTGTGCTATATTTAACTGAACGTGACTAGGCTCATGCATGCAGCTGCACTCAGTTGCTGGGCAGTTAGGGAATGATTGGTCTATAAATGACTATAACTTGCACAAAATTCCCTTGGTTCTATGTGGTCCATCACTCCTTAGCAAAGCAGTCTGGACTTACTCACAAGTTGGAAGTAGAGGTATAAATATGAGCAGATGTACTAAAGAATTGTTGAAGTCCAGGCTTGGGACTGTCAAATGATCACTTGTCCCACCAGTCACTAATTAGCCCATATACAAGGAGTGGGTATATAAGGCCAGCTCTAAATGGGAAGAACTACAAGGCTGTGTATGCTGTAGATATGGAATTAGTGAATAATTTCAGCTATTTTTAGAATAAATCTGTTATATAATCTGGTAAGTAAAATATTTTGTATTTTCCTACTTTATTAATAAGCCTTATAATGTCCTGGAAGGACTGGGTAAAATTTCTAATGCTTAAAATTGTTCTATTTCTACATAGAAAAAATAGTATTTATCTTTGACATCACTGTTTCCAAGCAATACGTCAAAGCTCCCTCCACATCCTTTATACAATAGTCTCGACAACCCACTAGGTTTGAGATTGGTTGTGTACCCAGTGCCTGGCCCATACTTGGGGGGGAACATCCAGAGACCATGTCATGCTTGTGTGAATTTGGGCAGGAAATTCAAGGCCTTTAAGTGGCTGAGACATGATCTAGAAAGATATGGCATGGAATCTAGTTAGGCATGTCCTGTCCTCTTGGCCCCACATACTCCTTTCCCTTTGATAAAGGACGTAATCATGAAAAGCCAAGAAGTCCCCGTTTCTTGAGACTGAGTAGTATAATTAATGGTACATCTGGATTTTGTCAGGTTGTGTTTCCAAAATGTCATATTGATGGGACCACATTTTAAAAATATTATGCCAATGCTCTGTTCTTTGAGGCTGGCAAGGATGATAGAAGGGTAGAAACTAATTCCTTTTTTAAGGGTGATGATAGATGTATATTGGAAACATATTTTCAGCATACTTCAAGTGATACAAAGTCAGCTGAATTTTTTGACCTTATTAACATTATGTTGTTCTTATACACAATTATCATACTACTACTGACCTTTTCGATGTCAGAGTCTTCACTTTGACTAATGTTGCAACAGTTTTCTATTGCTATGTAACAAATGCACACAATTTAACAGTACAAAAAACTATCATTTATTAAATTGAAGCTGTATTATGATTGGATTCTCTGATTAGGATATTATAAGAATGGAATCAGAGTGTTGGATGAACTGAATTCTCATGTGAAGACTCTTGACACAAACCACTTGTGTTTTTGGAAAAGTTGGCATTTTATGTTTACTTGTTATTCGCAGTTGCATGAGAGAAGTCCCTGTGTTTTTGCTGGCTGTCACTTCCTAAAGGCGCTGTCTTTTCTCAAAGGCCACATGTATATTTACATTGATCAAGCCAGCAATAGCACAGTGAATCTTCCCTATGAACTAAATATCTAAATTCTTCTGTCTCTGATTTCTACACACAGATTGTAAAAATTCATGCAATAAATCAGGACTACTTAGAGGATCTTATTTTTTAAAGCCATGCAACATAACTTAATCAACGAAACAACAACCTATCATATGCAGAAACTCAGGGATTATACAGGGGGCAGAAATCCTGGGGATTATCTAAGAAATCTGGCTACCTCACATGTGTTCTTAGGTAAATACACTCACATTTTCAAAGCAATGCCAAATTATCTTTATATGTAATTAGATATATAAGTATTTAACAAATATTAATCAATTTACATGAAATTTCTAAAATATAATTATGAAATGGTTGCATTAATGTATCCAGAGAACCATATAAATATAACCACCTAAATCATCTGGCTGTTAAAAGCAGATTTATCAAGTTACTGCCTTCATATATAATATACAATTGTATGTTTTTCATTTCACTTTAAAAAACCTTTAATTATAAATATAAGTAGATATTTTGGATTCTGAAAAGTCATCTAATGGTAGATACATATTAACATTTTCTTATTTATTTCAAACATAGAGACTGGAATGATGCCTTTTAATTATGTAGATAATATAAATCACAAAGCGTGCTAAGTACAACAATAATAATAACAACAATAATAGGATCACATTTGAGAGATTAATCCATTTTGGTATATGAGCTCTAGTCTACTCATTTTTCTTCCTGCTTTGTTTACATTAGTTTAAATAAAATGAAATATATTTATCTTTTAGGTTATTAAAGAATATTTAATTTTCTTCAAATATTTTATTATAAATGCTATAAAAGGACATTTTTGTAAATATCTTCCCATATACACGTTCCAGACTTGTCTCTTGGTTATTTTTAAGAATGGAGTCAATTCTGTTTATTTTACATCTATTTTATGAGCAGCTCCTTTCAGTAACCTTTGCTATATCTTTGTCTTACTATGTCTAAGGCCTGTAATACTAGAAACCTTAGTGTGTTTTTATTCCCTTTTTTCCAAGCTGAATAGATAAACAATCTCATCAAGCCCCATGGTTTTAAATGTTAATGACTTTCAAATATTTAAGACTTTCAAACATTTACACACACTTCTAGCCGGCTGCCTATTTGTCAATTCTTTCTTGAATATCTAAGATCTACCACTCACTTAAAATACCTTAAAGACTCTTAATTTTCACCACCAAACCCTGCTTTTTCTGTAGCCTTCTTCATGTCAGTTAATGAGATTACACTGCACTTAAGTACACTGGCTAAAATCTAACTGTATCTCACTGAATACTCTTCTCTCAATCAGCTTCTCAACAAGTTGAATTTAGGCTACATTCAAAATATGTCTACAATTCATATATTTTAACATTTTCACCAGTACAACCTTAATCTAAACAAACATCAGCTCCAGCTGGATTAAGTGTCTCCTAAATAATCACCTTGTTTCCCTTTTTTTCTATTTTTCACACAGCATCCAGAATATCTTTTAAAAAGATAAATTAGGGCATTCTTCTAGTGCTTTAGAGGGACCATCCATCCATCCACCAGTAATTTATCCTATTATAAAATCATTTAGAAATTAGTTGAGGCCGGGCACGGTGGCTCACGCCTGTAATCCCAGCATTTGGGAGGCCGAGGCGAGTGGATCACGAGGTCAAGGGATCAAGACCATCCTGGTCAACATGGTGAAACCCCGTCTCTACTAAAAAACTACAAAAAATTAGCTGGGCATGGTGGCGCGTGCCTGTAATCCCAGCTACTCAGGAGGATGAGTCAGGAGAATTGCTTCAACCCAGGAGGCGGAGGTTGCGGTGAGCCGAGATCGCGCCATTGCACTCCAGTCTGGGTAACAAGAGCGAAACTCCGTCTCAAAAAAAAAAAAAAAAAAAAAGAAATTGGTTGAGATGCAGTCCTACTAACACTCAAAATTATATTTTTTGTTGTTTTGTTTTGTTTTCATTTTGACACAGGGTCTCACTTTGTGGCCCATACTGGAGCTCAGTGGTGTGACCACAGTTCACTGCACCATGACCTCTGTGGCTCAAGCAATCCTCCCATCTCACCTTCCTGAATTGCTGGGCCTACAGGCATGCACTACCACGCCTGGCTAATTTTTTTTTTTATTATTTTTTTGTAGAGAGAAGTTTGCCTTGTCACTTTCCTGCTCAAGCAATCCGCTCACCTCGGCCTGACAAATTGCTGAGATTACAGATGTGACCCATCACACTCATCCTAAAATTTTACTTAAAAAAATATCCTGTATCTTATTTGTTTAGGTCCTAAGAAATAATTCTCAGAAATAATAGGATAGTAACTAATTGTGGTCTAAATTTTCATTACATGGTATTGGGAAACCACTGTGCATTTGAAAAGTTGCCAGATATAGGTTATAAAATGGGACTTTTCATATTTTATTTTACTTTGAAGATTTCTTGTACAGTGTAATTTTCATATTAAATTGATCCTTAGCTATGGTTGATTTTACATTAAGAAATTCTTTATCATTATGGTTTAAAATTCTATTAAAGTAACATTTTCTTATTTTTATTTTAGGCGGGCCTTTTTTGAAGGACCACGTTACCATTCAACGTATTGCAGCTTCCTCCATTGTCACACTGTATGTTACAGACCTAGGTCAACAAGTCAGTTGGACCACAGTAAGTGTCAATTTAGAATGTAACCCACATGCCTCATGTTTTGCTCTAAATAATTCACTGATAGCCTATTTCTGCCAAATAAAATCATAGTGAAACAAAATGTACTGAATGGTATTTTTAATTTTCTATTCTTACTATGACCAGTGGCCAAAGTTCTACTTATGTATTGGAGAAATAGAAAACCAAGTTTTGAAAAAGGAAGATAAGTTCCTTTTTAAAATATCAATCCACTCTATGACTGGGAGCTTCAACTCTGTTACCAAAATACCAGGGGTTCAGTCTAGGTGCTGCTGCTCCCTAGAAAGCCAATGACTGTGATGACAAGTATTGCCAAGGAAGAAGACTTCAATTGGGTGCTGCAGCCAAGGAGATGAGGTTCAGTCTCAAATCCATCTCCCTGACTAAAACTAGGGTTTATATAGCAGGGAATAAATGTAACAATGTGTAAGAAAACAGGTAGTAGGGAGGGACAAGGAGGCATCTGGTGGGGTGATCTGATGAGTTTCAGTTCTTTGATACTTTTTTGAGAAGGCTGAAGGTTCTTTCCTGAAGAAGGAACTTAGGTTACACAAATGTAAGTTTCAAATTGTAGCAGTAGAAGGATCAATTTCTACATTTATCCCAAAACAACTATCTATGGACTATGGGGCTGGTTTCATCTGCTTTCTCTGTGCTTTGTTATTCACATAGTATCTTTTTACCTTGTCCTTCTAGCCACCTAGGGACATCATAGACCCTTTTGACACTGGAGAGAAGAGTACAGAATATCCATTAAACAGGAGGTTCTCATGCAGAGTAACAAACTTTTGGCAACAGACCATGAACAAGTAAACTTTTTTCAGCCTGCAAAAATGTTCTTGTGCCTCCTTTTGGAGGAAAATAGCAGATCCTAAAATGACGGTATCTGAAAATGGCATTACAAGAATGAGGGCTACATAGAAAAGATATGGAGGGTTAAGAGGCAGTGAAAATACTTGGTGCTAGTACACAGTACTGAAACACTCAGTGGGTAATAGAATAAATCAGTGGAATAGCTTCAGCAGCAAGAGGAAATGTTAATATGATATTTAGTAACAGAGGCAGTGAAATAATTAACAAATAGTTTTGATATGCAAAGAATGGTGAGATTCATTTGTTTTAATTGCATTAAACTTCTGTTTTGTGTATTGTTTAAACTATGAAAGTTTTTTCTTTGCTGTTACATTCTACCCCATGTTTGTGATTACTTTTAATATTTTCTATTCAAAATGGCTTTTCTTTTTGCCAGAATTAACAATCAGCATTAACATTCATAGTGATTTGAGCTGTTTCTTTAAAATTAAGCAATTAATTTTTGTAACTATTACAAAGGTATGACAATTTATATATTAATATTTATTTTTAAGTATAATCTAACAAAATTTGATTTTAAATTTATTAACTAAAATATTGCTACATCTGCTTATATTTTCTTTTTTTTTCGTTTATTATTTCATTGCATTTTATGTTTTGGGGTACATGTGAAGAACATGCAAGATTGTTGCATAGGTACACACGTGGCAGTATGATTTGCTGCCTTCCTCCCCATCACCTACATCTGGCATCTCTCCCCTTGCTCTCTCTCCCCAACTCCCCACCCCCCACCATCCCTCCCCTATTTCCCCTGTTTATATTTTCTAACAATCTTTCATTGTAAGATATATTTCCTGGCCAGACACGGTCGCTCATGCCTGTAAATCCCAGCAGTTTGGGAGGCCAAGGTGGGTGGATCACCTGAGGTCACGAGTTGGAGACCAGCCTAACCAACATAGAGAAAGCATGTCTCTACTAATAATACACAATTAGCCTTGTGTGGTGGGTCATGCCTGTAATCTCAGCTACTCAGGAGGCTGAGGCAGGAGAATTGCTTGAATCAAGGAGGAAGAGGTTGCAGGAGCAGGGATTGTGCCACTGCACTCCAGCCTGGGAAACAAGGCAACAAGAATGAAACTGTATCTCAAAAAAAAAAAAAAAAAAAAAAAAAGTTATACTTCCTGTGTAATTACTGTGTAATTAATTAGTTCTATTTTATGTTTTAATTAAATAGTTTACTTTCCAAAGTATATTGAGCTTTTGAGTACTAATTTGTAACACTAAAGATTGAGTTTAGAATCTTATGAATTCTTATGAAGCATATTTTATTATTTAGAAAACAACCTTTGGAAGATACATGCGTTCTGCAAATTAAGGTTTTAATACTGTGCTTAAATGTGTTGTCTAGAGATCTTTGCCTAAAAAGATTTGAGAAATGCATGTTTGGTCTTCAAAGGTTAAAACATTCACAATATCTTTGTTCACATTTACAACGAAAAGGGAATTCTGTTTACAGAAACTGTGTCAGAATTAGCAGTATTAAATAATTGTAAATTTCAGCTTCATCACTTGGATAAGCATTGAGACAAAAACACATTAAAGTGGAGTTATTTGGAAATTGCACTGGAAAATTACAGCTCATTTGAGAGGAAAATCATCTATGTGAACAAAGAGAACCCCACAAATATGCTGGATAATTTTAAATCAACCCTATGGTTCACATATCCTTTTCCTCCAAATGAGTCAGTTCTATTAAATACTAAAAATATACACACTACATTGCAATCACACTCATTTTGTATCAACTAAATTATATAACAAAGGTAATGTTTTACCACATATGATACTCTTGTACATTGAGAAATATAAAATGTTTTTCTTATAATAAAATATTTCATAGTGTTGTGGAAGTAATTAATTTAGCAAGGTTAAAATTGAGATTTTAATATTTTTCCCCAACAAACTGTGTTACAAAATATAGAGAGAATTTTGGCTCATTTAACTTGCAAAAACTTAGGATAAAGGATTAATATGATAACATAATCCTCATTACATGTTATACGTTAAAGTTATGCAGTTTTCACCATTTCTATGTTAATTCTTGTGTGTATGTGTTAATGTGCAATTCTATGTAATTTCTCCCTTGTTTAAGTTCCTGTATATACCACCAATGCCAAGATAGAGAATTGCTTCATCCTTAAGAAGAACTTCTTCATGTTATCCTTGTATAGTTACATACACTTTTTCCCATCCTAGAGTAACCACTGATATGTTCTTCATCTCCCTATTTTTGTCGTGTGGAGAATGCTCTACAAAAGGATTCAAACAATATTTTGAGATTGATGTTTCCTTTTCTGTAAACATGGTTTCCTTAAAATCCATCCTGATTGTTGTATCAATAATTGGTTCCTTTATATTGGTGACTGATACTCAGTTATATGGATGTAATGAACTTTGTTTAACCATTTACTCTTTGAATTACATTTGGGTGATTTTTTAGTACTTGGCTATTATAAATGAAGCTGCAGTGAACATATGTGTAGGGGTATTTTGCCAGAACTTAAAAAAAAAAATTATTTGGGACACACTGTTGAGTTTTAATTATTCTTTATATAATTTAGATTGGAGTCCTTGTGTATGTGGTTTAAAAATATTTTCTCTCAGTCTTTAACTTTTCATCATCTTAACAGAACTTCTCACTGCTAGAAGCGTTTTCAATTTTAATGCAGTCTAATTTATCAAGGGTTTCTTTTAAAGATTTTGCTTTTTCTTTCGTATATAAGAATCCTTCCACTTAGTTCTAGGTCCTGGAATTTCTCTCCTGTGTTTTCTTATGAGAGTTTTATGTTTTGCATTGTCATGATAGTCTATTTTTATTGTGAATTACATTTTTAATCTCTAAATCTTATTTTCTTCAATTTGTCTAGTGTATTCTATAACCTTTTTTATCTTTTTTTCTTATTTTGAATTAATTGTCATACTCTCTTTTCTATCTCATCTGTGTTATTTTGGTACTTAAGTCTTTTATTTTACTAACTCCAGGGGTTACCAAAGAGATTCCAGTGCCTACCCTTGAGATATTTAACACTAGTGTGCATTTTTACATTTGATTTTACTAATGTAAAAATACTTCATAAATAGTTGAATCACTTTATATTTAGGCTTCTCCTGAATGATCATTCATGGTTTTATAATTTTCTATATATGTTAAATCCAAATAAGTTGCTAAAATTTTATCTAATAAATATTTATTTAGACTTATTCTTTTTGCTACAATTTAGTTATTTCTTCTAATGTTGAGTTTACATCTGGTCTCCTTCTGCCTGGAAAACATCTTCAGTGTTTTATTCTAGTTCTGTCATTAATAAATTATCTCCATTCATGTTTATCCTAAAATGTCCTCATTTTGGCCGGGCGCCGTGGTTCATGCCTGTTATCCCAGCACTTTGGGAGGCCGAGGCCAGTGAATCACAGGGTCAGGATTTCAAGATCAGCCTGACCAATATGGTGAAACCCTGTCTCTACTGAAAATACAAAAATTTAGCTGGGAGTAGTGGTGGGTACCTGCAATCCCAGCTTTTCAGGAGATTGAGGCAGGAGAATTGCTTTAACCCGGGAGGCAGAGGTTGCAGTGAGTCCAGAGAGCACCACTGCACTCCAGCCCAGGTAACAGGCTGAGACTCTGTCCACCCAAAAAAAAAAAAAAAAAAAGAAAAGAAAAGAAGAAGAAAAAAAATCCTTGTTAACTTTCATTGTTAAATAATATTTTTACATAAAAATAAGTTTATATTGGCAGTTCTCTTTTATTCACTTTACAACACTTTATTGTTTTAATTTCTGAATTCCATTGTTTCTGTTGAAAAGTCAGCTATATTCCTTTGAAAGTGATCTGTCTTTTCTGAACTGTTTTTACTTGGTTCTGTTATTAGTGATTTGACTATGATATGCACCATTATAATTATATTTCTATTTGTCTTGCCTTATTGTTGGTGGTTTTGTATTTGTGTGTGCATGAAATTCGATATTTGAAAAATTAGCTACCATAATCTATTCAACTATTTCTTGTCCATTATTCTCTAAATTCTCCTTTCAAATTTTCTATTGCATTTTCGTATTTTTCTTTTCAAAGTTTTTACATACCTGAAAATCTCAACTTTATATTTTATTTATTTTAACACATAAAAGATAGTTTTTATTAAAGTTTGTGTCTAATAATCCTGTCGTGTGAATCTTCTTCTTTATTTTATTTTGCTATTTCTCTTGGTTTTGCTCACAATCCGTTTAGTCTTTGTATGCCTGTGTATTTCTAGGTGCAGAAAATTTATGTGAAAAATTTTAATTTTAATGATAACAAGTTCTGGGGTGATTTTTGTTTTCTTTCAAAGATAGGTTACCATTCTCAAGATGATTGAATTTCATTATTGGGTCCAAATCATCTTGATCCAATCAATGATTGAAATGATTTTAGGCTGAGCTTTAGAATCTGTGGGGAGAGTTTTATAAGGCCAACTTCATCCTTTACAGATGATGAACAACAGCTTTTGTTTGTTCATTCCTAGGTCCCATCAAAAGAACTGCTCTTCTTATCAGGCTCATATGGGGCTTCATATGCAAGGTTCAATCTCTTCCCTAGATCTGCCATTTTAAAATCCTCAACCTCCTAATTCCTGAAGGACATTATGTTTCTGAGGGCTGTAAAAACTTTTTTAAAAATATTTTTATCAGTTTTTCTAAAACTGTGTTTTAGTTTTCTGTGTTTGAGTTATCTAAAATAAAAATCTCCATCATATGTTATTTATTTGACAAACTACAAACACACACACACACACACACACACACACACAATCTTTACTTAGCATGATACTAACTTCAAAAGTATTCATTAAGTACAAAGTCATATTACTGTATTACAGCTGATAAATGCTTCTAGGTAACACCCTTATCTTCAGGAGATTAAGGTTAAAACTATTTTGTTTTCAGAAATTCTGAAATACATATTTTTTAACTGCCAATAGCAATTTTAGAAAAAGAAATAGTAAATCCAACGACACTCTAATAATGATAGCATTAATTTTTTTTCAAGTAGAATGAAATGCGTTAAGCACAGTTTAAGCACATGGTTCCTAACCAATTCAAAATTGCTGTTTCATGTTTCAGTGTATTTTTTTAGCAGATTATTCCCTTTTTCAATTTATGCATATATCACTTTGAAGATTCCACTGAGGTTTCGAAGACTCCCAAACTCCTTGCTTGCCTAGTAAAAGTAATAAATGTTTTGGTATTCAAAACACAGGGTTAGTCTAATGAACATAACTTTTTAGAAAGAGGAAATATAAATATATTTAATAATATAAATAAGATGGAATTTCAATATAGTGTTTATCTTCAAAATAAGAAAAAGGAAGGTGTATGTGCCTCTTTAGAATATAGAATCTTCAGTAGAATTTTGTAATATAGGGGAGTTTCCAGTCTTTGTAAGTTCTTGTGTTGGACTTGGTCTGTATATCTTTGTATCTGTTTACATAATTACACTTGATTTTGATTTTGTTTTACTTCCCCTAATTTAGTAGAAAAGACCAATTGCATTTTCAGAAGAATATATTAATATATGTCTATCTAGCCCTAGTTTTCCTCATCTTGAACTATTTTGTGATTACTTTCTAGGTTTAATAAAATATCTTTTCTCCTTTCTTCTATTTATACTGAAATAATTTTTTTCAAATGCATTGTTCAAAAGTTATTTATCACTGCCTAGTGCTTTCGGGACATATCATTCATAACCTGGTACTTTTTTTTTACTCTCCATATTCTAGCATAAAAGTATTCTTTATCAAATAATAGGCTTCCTAAAACATATTTCTATATGCTAGTAGGCTCTCTGAATTATGTTTGAGGATTGAGATAAGATTATAGTTTAATTTCCTGTCATCCAAAGAAACTTCAGATCTGCATTAGTGATTTTATTAAGTTAATAAAGGGTGACACTTGATGGACAATAACTATTGTTCACAACATTTTATATTCCTAATATGTTCTTAGAGAATTTGCTCAAATTTGACTTCACTAGATCAATTGGTGTTGAAATAACTATTTTAAACTTTTTATTGTACTAAAACAATTACCCTCTTCATTATTCTGAATTTTTGACATTCTATCATTAAATATTCACAAGGGGTAAATATTTTCTTTATATCTGAATAATGAGGCATTTCATAACACATAAATTAGTCTCTTAAATGAGACTGTTTTTATAATGAATTGATCAGAATTTGCATTGTTTTTACTTCTCACACACAAATCTTTCTTGGCACATGAGAAAATAGTTAAATTTCTAAAAGGCAGAATTGTAAGTGAAAAAAACCTCCATACATAAATTGCTATTTGTGCATTTTTGTGTAATCGTACATAGATTATATATAGTGTATGTGAATGAATATGAAACCATGCACATGTATGACGCATTCTAACAATGTTCTAACCAATGTGTACAACTAACTGCATATTTGAGTAAAACATGTCCAGCTACAAATTTGTTCTTCAAAACATGGTAGCAAGTAAAGACAAAATAGTTACTGGCAGTCAAATGTATTATTGTCAAGTCTTATTTTTTTATTTTCTCTTTGAAAACTCCTAAGTAAATTATATTCATCTCTCTGTCTAAATATTTAAGGAAATTTAACATGATTTTAGCATTAAAAAAATTAAAGGGTATTCAAATTTACACCAGTTAGTCAACTCATCTTTTGCAATCATTTCATCTTGTTTTCAATTACCTTTCCAAATGCTGTTAGTGTCTCTCTGTAGTTCAAATATGGTTACCCCGACTCGGCTCAAGCACTCAGAAGTTAGTTCTTTTAACCACACAACTAGACTCATTAGAATTAAAGAGTAAAATTTCTAATAGAGAAGACTGAATTGTTTCCATTTGAATTAGAGTCAAATCAGTGGGTTCAAGCTGACAGGCCCCTGGAGGGTAGCGAAGGGAAGAAAAGAAAGAGAAAAAAATAAATACTTTAGCTCATTCAGTTTATTGACAGGGACAGTTCATACATATGATTGAGTGTGTATTGGACTGGGTAAACATACACAAAAATAAACTAACAATCATTTGTTTATTCAAACAAATTCTCCTTTTTACTATATGTAGTGAAATAAACCAGTTTATTAGGTTCAATATTTATTTTTATTTTATGTTAACTATACATATATTTTGCTTTTTCCCTCTTGTTCCCTCAAAGAAGACATTATTTCCACTATCACTTAATCTAGTTATTTTAAAAAATAATTCATCTGTCTATTTCACCAATTTATCCAGTAGGCTAATACTCATAGACACAAATAAACCTTAAACACATCTATGTTTATTGTTTAATCCAAATCATCTTTTATTTTCAGGTATTTTTGGCTGAATACACAGGACCTCTGCTAATATATCTCCTCTTTTATTTGAGAATCCCATGTATATACGATGGAAAAGAGAGCGCTAGAAGACTACGCCACCCAGTGGTACAGTAAGTGATACATACTTGTGTGTGTGTGTGTGTGTGTGTGTGTGTGTGAGAGAGAGAAATATATGTGTATATATAAGTGATATATATGTGTATATATAAGTGATATATATGTGTATATATGTGTGTATATACATATATAACATACACACGTATATATAAAACATACATTGAAGAGGAGATGAATTAGTAAGCAGATAAAATATTAATAAAAGTTTTTGGTAAACTCAATTAAATTGGATACAATTTTATGGAAATATATTTTAGATGACCTCAAATAGGGTATATACACCAACTTCCAAATTTGTAAACTAAGAACTATTAGGTATACCTTAAAATAGAGGTAATTTGGTGGCACGTGATGGCTCATGTCCGTAATCCCAGCACTTTGGGAAGCCAGGGCGGGAGGATCATGAGGTTAAGAGATCGAGACCATCCTTGCCAACATGGAGAAATCCTGTCCCTACTAAAAATACAAAAATTAGTGGGGCATGGTGGCGCTCACCTGTAGTCCCACCTATTTGGGAGGCTGAGGCAGGAGAATCTCTTGAACCCAGGTGGCAGAGGTTGTGGTGAGCCCAAGATTGTGCCTCTGCACTCCAGTTTGTTAGACAGAGCAAGATTCTGTCTCAAAAAAAAAAAAAAAGTAATTTGTGTTAATAATGATCACAGCTGTCAAGAGAATTCGGAAATTCAGAAATATCATTAAAAGAAGTTTGCAATTATAAAATTGAGAGACCATATATAGGACATAAAATATAAGTACTCACTAAAAATTTATTTATTATCTATTATTAAATCCCTATTTATTTATTTGGCAATTTGCATAGGAAAGAAATAATGACCAAACTAATAAACAGGAAGAAAAAAGTTTACAAGTTACTTTTTATAAGTCAAAATAAAAAATTAAGCACCACTCTGAAGCATGACAAATAAAACAGTAAGGGAATAAATAAAGCATTCTCTGTAACTGTGGTTATTAGTATATTGTGAAAATAATCTGTCTCTCTGCAAGAATGATCAGCCAAATGAAATAGAGAGAGAATATTTATTCAAGATGCTTATTGGGCTCCGGAGAGGGAAATTTGTTAGAAAAAAAAGACCTCAAAAAATTTTTTCATTAAATAAACTCCAAGTGAATTAAGAAGAAAATTTTAAATGTTTAGGTCATCTGAATCCTACAAGATTGAGAACCAATTTTATCCTAAGTTTCTTACCTATAATCAAGTTTGGTTAACTTTAATTACTGTAGTCCAGCCACACTTATCTCCTTTCATGTCCTGATTTTCTACTGTATTAGTTCGTTTGCTTGTTGCTGTGAAGAAATAACCCAAGACTGGGTAATTTATTTTAAAAATATATATTTAATTGATTCTCAGTTCTGCCAAGCTTGGGAGGCCTTAAGAAATGTACAATTATTGCAGAAAGTACCTCTGCACATTTTCTTGAGTGAAAGGAATGCTCAATTATTTAAAAAAGAGGCTGGGACAAAGAGTTTGGTGGAGAATCTAAAAGCATTCATTTTTTAGGCCAAATATGGAACACATACCAAATGTGTGGCAGAGCATGAAGAAACAAGTTTTCTTCAGTGTCATTCTAACTGACTCATATTTTTCTTTTTTTTTTTTTTTTTTTTTGTTTTTTGTTTTTTGTTTTCGAGACAGGGTCTTGCTCTGTAGCCCAGGGTAGAATGCAGTGGCTCAATTATGTTTCGCTGCATCCTCACTCTTCAGGGCTCAAGCCATTTTCCCACCTCAGCGCCTTAAGTAGCTGAGACTATTGGTGTATACCATCACATCCAGCTAATTTTTAAAAAATATTTTTAGAGATTAAGTCTCATTATGTTGCCCAGACTGCTCTTGAACTCCTGGGCTCAAGAGATACTCCTGCCTCAGTCTCCCAAAGTGCTGGGATTATAGGCATGCGTCACTGCACCAGCCTTACTATACTTAAACACAAGTACACCATGTTTGGTAGTATCTCAGTGGTGAATGTATTTGTGCCACATTGTTCCCAAAAAACATATACCTTAAGTTTGTATAAAGTAATTCCACAGCAGATACACACACTACTTTTGAAATGTAGGTGTCTAGCAGGGCTTTAGAAAATAATCACAAAGCTTGTGTCACCTAATTTTCGGGATGATGTTGTTTTAAGATGAATTCTTAAATGTCACATCCAGTTGCCACAGACTAAAATGTTGTCTCCAAAATTGTTTTGAATTAATGTTATAATGTCAAAAGAATTTTCTTCTAAGTTCATATAGTAGGAGATTTCTATATGTGACCCAACCACCACAAAGTTATTCAGATCTCTTAGAATCCTCCACACACTGAGACAAAAGGGATATCTCCTGTACGAACTGTATCCACATCAAGTATCTTACGAACCTGTTACCTGAACATTTCCTTGTCTTCCTCAACAGAAACCAGAAACCTGGTGCAATGCCTCCCTTGCTGTTTCCAAAGCTGAAGATGTGCTTTTCTATGCTGTGCCCTCATATCCTGAACCTCACTTGATTCAAAATAAATAAGATTTTATCAGTACTTTGGTTGGGAAAAAGAATTGGATCCATGCCTATTTATGGTTTACAGTTAATTTAGCAATTAACAGAAAATAATCAGTGTTTGACTGGAAGTTAAACATAATTATATAGAATAATAACACTTTGAAATAAAATCAAACTTGGTGAGTTAGCAATGATGTACAATGCGGCATATATATAAGCAGTACGGTTCTACTTGTATATTGTATGGTGGTTTCTACACTCTCATGGTATAGCATGAAAGAAGTGAATGAAGTAATGTAGAAGAATCATAGATTGAACCAAAATTTCTCACTGATGGCTCTGCTACATTGCTGTTTTCTTATAAAACAAACAAAAAAATGTATATTACCCAAGGGTTTTTGTAACCACTCCTACAAAAGAACAATAAAATGAGGAGAGATATCAATTTCCTTATCTACCTTTTGAAATCATAAGGCAGTTTCTATATCACGACTTTTGCTTCTGTTTGTCTGATTTTCTAGAAAGCTCTTCCCCCAGATATCCATGTTTTTTGCTCTCTTACCTATTTTTCAGAATTTATCTACTATTATACTTACAGGTATATGCATCACATAAAACAAGTATGTTACATAGTAGGTGCACAATTTGTTTTTCCTGAATTAATGAATAATGATAAATTTGCTGCTGACCTAATCAGGATAGTGTTAGTCTAATTATTTGTTTTCCCTAAAGTCACCCTACTCATACCAAAAATCATTTCCACAGAAATAAACTCCCAGATTTATAAATAAACTCAGCGTCTGATTTTATTATTATATACAGCACGTTTACTGGTTAAAGTATGTCATCAGTCAGGTGCGGTGTCTTATGCCTGTAATCCCAGCCATTTGGGAGCCCCAGACAAGTTGATCACTTGAGCCCAGGAGTTTGAGACTAGACTGGGCAACAAAGTGAAACCCATTTGTACAAAACATACAAAAAATTATCCAGGCATGGTGGCACGGGGGTGTATGTGAGCTATTCAGGAGGCTGAAGTGGAAGGATTAGTGGAGCCTGACAGATTGAGCCATGATTGTGCCACTGTACTGGAGCCTGGATGACAGAGCAAGACTCCAGCTCTAAAAATAAATAAATAAATAAAAAACACACAAAAAGCATGTCACCTTTGATCCATATTTATTTCTCTAATAGCAAACAAAGGTTATGAGATTTTACATTTTTATGTATAACAAAGTAGGTACAGTTGTTAATGAAAACTATATGCTTTTTAGTATATCCAGAAAAATGTACCTCTTTAAATCACATTTTACATTTACTTTTAAGATAGTAATTATATGAAAATGATAAGAGGTAGTAATTTAGAATAGAGCAGTAAAAACAAGTACACAAAGAGATAAAATATTACAATATTCAGTAGAAAATAAAAAAGTAAATTAAAAAAACAAAAAGCTACATTATTACTGCACTGAAATGCAATTTAAGCTTTCTCCATCTTGGTACTTTCTAAAGGACAAACAGAGAATTAAAAAGTTATTCTGAATATTATAAAATGTCAAATGCATTCCAAGTAGGCTTTGGACATTTTTAAAACTTGTAGATTGTCAGTTTCAGTCAACGCATTTTGATATGAACACATTTGCAATTATTATATTTATACCTACTCTTGGGACAGGTGGGAGCATAACAGTTTATGATTGGTATTATAAAATATTTTAGTATCATCAGAAGTAAATTTATAGAGACTCTTATAACAGCTACTTTTATTGCTAAATTTTGAAAATTAAATATTAAAGAAAGTATTTGGGTTTTAGTTACCAGAAACAATATTTCCTAATAGCTAGAATATTACAATAAACTGAAAATTTTAAATGTACCATGCATAAGGCAAGCCAGAAATTCAAAGGGATTTTAATGTTTACTTTTTATACATTAAAATCTTGGCTTGCTTCTGTCATTGTATACACTACATCCGATACCTTTTGGAAACCTTATTTGTTCACAAAGTGTCTGCAGGACAAACAACTTTGAAAAATCTGATAATGGTGAGGATGCTTTGTATTTTTAATTATTATTGAGACATTTTAAATGTTGGATTGTTTGCAAAATATTTAATCACTGTTTTCTTCTGAAACTTAGATTTTCATGTTTAATTGTATAAGCATATCTTAAACATTCTTTTCCTCAAATGCCATTTTTTGAGTAATATATTTAATTTGAGCTTAATCCTATAGAAAGATTTGTCATTACCTCACATTACAAGACAAGCTAGATAATCCTAGATATCTTTTAATTTTGCTAACACTAAGCACTGAATTCAGATTTCTTGAGTGCCACTGGAAGAGAATATCAGATAAGAACATTCCCAAAAATATATATCTGTGTGGGATGAAAATGATGCTACTATATTCCATTATAATGGCAGTTGTCAATATGATGCTAGTGTCTTTGCTCTTTCTAGAAATTGTGAATGCAACAGTTATCAACTCTCAAATAAGTACCAAAAAATGAAAAAAAAGTATGGAATATGTTGACATGGAAAAGTACTTTAGACAACATGTTGAAACTCAATTTTCAATTTAAGTTAAATTTTATTTTATTTTTCAATTTAAATATATATTTTCGAAAAAAGGTTTGCCTGTTAAAAAAAAAAAAAGTCCTAGCTTTTGTCAAATATCTGCTTTGCAATATTGCTAGAACATTATAGTAATCTAAACAGCCATTTTATTGTTACTGCAATCAAGCAGTAATCTCCGAAATTCTGACACCTCAGAAGTCATTCAGGCCTGCTTATTTTTGACAGAAGAACTAATCAAATCAATTCAAGATCACCATTATTGACTATAAGTCTTAAATCCAAGCCATTTCCATTTCAGTCAATCAATATGTTTTACTAATTATTAAATAATTTTTTAAAATTCACTAGTTGTTGAAAAAACATTAGCATATCTTACTCAATAGTAACTGATGTTTTATTTTTAGCAATTTGTTTACTACTTGCTAGGCAAAACTAATTCTCACCACTTTTCTAAAATATTTTGTTAACTTGACATATATCACAAATATTCATTAATATTAATAAAAGTGGAGCAAAAAATCCATTTTCTTAGTGATATGAAAATAGTATTCTTAAAATGCTACTCTTAACAATCTCCTTATGCCGTAGTTTAGTGAGGTCCAAGTTCCTGTCCCCCAACTAGTAAGAATAAGACACATGCATACCGGAGAGTGAGTAGGGCAGGTTTATTAAGCAACAGAAAAACTCTCAGCAGCTAAAGGGTAACTGAAGAGCATTGCTAGAAATGAGCCTGAGTTCTGGGTCTTTTATGTGGCAAAGATAAAGAAGTATTCTGTGGTTTACACCCTAAGGGGAGAGGGTAAAATTCCCACTGAGGGTGGTGCATCTGCTCAAGCCTGGGGTTGGCCATAGCTACTCCATCTTGGCACAATACATATATATTATTGGTGTGTCACATATACATATGTTACATATTTTTTCTAACTTTTATTTTGTTTTGTTTTGTTTACAGATTTGTGCCTTTTACTGGGGATTTACTTCTTGGATTGCCTATTACATTAATCATCCACTATATACACCACAATGTATGTAGGGTTCTTCTTAACTAAAACCGTACTAAATGACCAACCAAAAACTTTGTTCTAAATGGTATACATATTATGAACAGCACAGAATAAAGGAATAAGTAAAAAAGTAAAACAATTCAATTTTAAATTGATTTCATATATATTTAAATGCTTATGTAGGCCTAAAAGACCAATTTGACTCATTTATTTCAATTTATTTTCTTTCTACATGAAACAACAAAAATATTAGTAGGTTGTAAACCTCCAAAAAACAGATAATAAAATGAAAAAGCAACAATTAAAGAGAAAATTATTATGTAACTATACAATCACATACAAATCAGCTATTAGATATTCTAAAATTAAATAATAAACATTTAATTATTCTTTTAAATATAATTCAACAAATAATAGAGGCAATTTTTTCTATGACAAATTAGTTTTTATTTATGATTTACTTTACTAAAATATCTTGACTTAGATGAACAATTTGGTAGAATGTACACTGCTAGACACCTAATTTCTTGATTCTTACTCTTAAAAAAATAAGGTCCTCTGATCAAGGAGTTTCATTTCTTTCTTCAATTTGGATTTATCTCTCTTCAGCTTTTACTGTAGCACATAAGAAACATGATGTTAAGCTCAAAAATTAAATGGTTTCTCAATTAATTGACAATTATTTTTGTGGTCTATTTCTGGTGTTTGCAAAGTTAAAAATAAATTGAAATAAACGTATATTCAATCTTTATTTTAAATTTTAGAGAATAGCTTAAACTTGCTTAATTTCTTAGCAGAAGTATTAATATAGAGAATTACAACGCTCAGTCTTTGCTAAAATCAACAAATCTAGCTCATTCTGGGAAGTGAAGAGGCATTGATTTTAATGACTAAAAATTCAGCTGGTCTTAATACTAACAATTAACTGTGAATATTGAAAATGAAAATTTCCTGTATTTACTGATTTTTCCAATATTTTACAAGACATACTTATAGTCTTTACAATTTTAACACATGAATGTATTGCTCCAGACTATGATAAGAAGAAATGCCTCTGAAAAATGATTCATTTCCATATTGGGTACAAAATAATAATAGTGGTTAATTTTGTTAATGTACACAAATTATGTATTGAAAACTGAATATTTGTTAATAACTGTAAATATTCTATTTATTTCCAATTAAAAACATTATTTTGTGGCTGTTAATATTTCCTATTAAAGGCTAGAAAAATAATGCCCTGATAATCTAATTTCACTACGGTCAAGATCTTAAAATGCATAAGATAAAAGAAGGATTCAAATGCTGTGAAAACATATGATAGCATTTTAATTCTGATTACAAGTGGAAAATGAATATCTTGCCTAGGAAGTCCACACTTAACATGGTTGTAATATACATGAGCTAAAGCTATTATGCTTTAGTTAAATCATACTAAATAACAATGTGACTGCTAAAACAGTATATGCTGAATAAGTTGCTCTTTTATAAAGTATAAATTAGCTTTTATTAAGGCTTCCTATGTTTTACGTACTATGCAAATAATTGCCACATTTTGTCTCATTGAATCCTTATGAAATTTAAACTGTTTCTATTCCCATTTTACAGATGAAGAGCTAAACTTTAGAAAACGTAGGCAGAGTTTCCAAATTTACTCAGCAAATAACTGGAAAAGAATCTATAGCTTAGATACAGATAACAGTAAACTGTGCAAGAGATTAGCCAATCCACAGCCAGACAGACATATAAATTCTATATAGACATTATCATGGAGACCCCCTCACCAAATGAGAATATCATCTTTGTCTTAGTTGTGATCTGGGTAGCAGAGGCTCCCATTTCTTAAACTGTTGCTTTTATGGGCTTAGGATACCTAACAACATTGTTAAGAAATGACAGGACCCAGTAGCTTTCTCAAATTTGTTCCATGCTTGTTATTTATTGTTTTATTTTTTCTGTAAAATTTCATCCTTTTTTATATTTGTGCTGCAAAAAAACCCTCCCTTTCATTTCTTGTCACTTTCTAAGACTTTAATAGAATATTTTCCCTTTTTAACACTTTGATTAAAATAAAAAATTATTTTAATTTTAAAAATGGATTATTACATCATAAAAATTCAGTTTTGTACTCACAAAGCAGAAATAGTACAAAGTACATTATCTTTAGGTGAGATGAAATAAACCTTAATATTACAATATAAGCACACAAAAGTGTTTATAAACAAAATATTTGAGGGGATATTTAAAAGCACTTTCCTAAATTATTTTAACAGTAAGAGATATAACAATAATTACAGAACAACTATGACAAGGCAGCAAAAAAAGAAAATAGTACTTGTTAAAGTTGTTTTCAGCAGAGCCGGTATAATCTTAATAAATAATCATATTTAAGGAAATGAAATGAAACATTTTAATTAAACAAATCAGTAATTCATTCAATTTTTGTTTCAATATATCTTACTTTATTTCCTGCATTAAATCCATCTGCTTAAGGTTACAAAATAGACAATTTATCCTATTTTTATTTTGTTCTTCTTGAAATTTTTCATTAAATTATCCATGCTTACAACATAGTTTCCCTCTTTTTAACCACAAAATAAGAAAAAAAACGTGATTAGACTTTTGGACTTTATCTGTTTAATCTTTGATCACATTTTCTGTACTTTCACTTTATATATGATATGTTCCTTCAATATACATAATTCAGTACAATGTTTATTACATTACGGCCATGATTATTTTTTTTTCTGGTTTTTGTTGTTATTATTGTTGTGTTTTAGTTGTCATAGCTGACACTGCTGTTCTTTGCTCTCTATACCAACTGGATATTTTTCCACTTCCTTCTATATTCTCTGTGCTAACAGTGTTTGACCTTTATCGCAATTCTTACTGCAATCTATTCTCATCAAATTTGGCTGCAAAAAGTTTAAAGCATCTGTATATTAATACACAAAACTAACAGTTGAAAATCAACATGTTGTATACATATTTCCAACACATATTGTACTAGAAAGTTCATATTCTGTAATTCTTGAATAATATTTAAGTACAACCAAATGAAATATGTTATCAAAACTGTAAACTGCCCAATGACAGGAACATTTTAATAACCCCCAATTAGAATGTGTATGTTCAAATATCTTAATATATAAATGTGTACTATCAACATAATCAAGGAATAATGCCCTATTAGGTTACTTTTACCTATCTAAATGTGAAACATTATACAAATTGTGAAATACTATTAAATGTTTTAAAAGCTTATAATGACTAAAACCTTTCTAGAAAGTTTATTTCTCTTTACACTACCTATGACTTTGTTTTTTTGGAAATAAATACGGAAAATGACTCTTCACTTGATACTTGTGTTTATCACATTGTTATTCATTTTCATTTAAAAATAAGAATAAGACATATGTTTACCGTCCTCTGCCTAATGTGCTCTGAAACCTCTTTTCTCTATATCAATGCCTATTCATTTTAATAAATCAAAGCTTAAATTTGCACTCAGAAGAATCCTCCCTGATCTCCCAGATTACAAAAAAAAACATTTTTAGTTATTCTATTAAATCCTACATAGATCTTTTTAGTGGCACTTATCAATTTTGCAAACTTCCATTTGTTATCATGTGATTCCTAGTTTTATGGTTAAGAATGTAAGTTCAAATAAGATTGCCTTTGGCTTCGTCTGTACTTTATCACAAGCACACAGTTCAGTGCCTCTCACGTGAACTCTTGATAACTAGTTGAATGAGTAAAGTTACATTGAATAACAGGTATAAATAAAAAAATTATGGCTGATACACATGCATATCAACGAATTGTGATTTGGCAAGAGCAGAATGTTTAATTATGTGACAAAATATATATAACATTATGTTAAGAGAAAAATAATTTATAAAATTGTTGTATCAAATATTATGAAAATGTACAACATACATGAATATGTCAAAGGGGAAAATAGTAATACTCATTGGTTTTTTTATGGTTCATGCGATTTTAATGCATTTTCCTTTCCCTTACCACTTTTTACTATTTCCCAAGTATTCTCTGTTAGTACATTTTATTTTACTATTAGATATATGAACTATATGAAAACAAAACTTCCAATTCATGCACACATGGCTTGTATATGTATTCTATGAAAATATGTCTATGCAAAATACCTGTATACCTTTAACTATACTTTTAAATTTCTAGCTTAAGAAAACAGAATTTAGTAAAATATTTACTAAACATCTTTATACATAAAGATGTTCAAAGCAGTATTATCTATCATTTAAATGTAAAATTTAAATGACCTTTGCAGCAATTCTATAGCCCCATCATGCTTTACTATGAAGATTCAATTACAGTTATGACAATGAGTATTTAATAATACTGGAAAATCTTTAAATATATTGTTAGGTGATAAATGCAAGTGTTAAAATGAGGGATAATATTTTCATGTGTATATGTAAATCTGTTTATATAAATACAACTACATGTTCTCATACATATAACAAAAAGAAATGCAACTATTAATAAGCATGATGAGTTGTCAAATAATTCATTATTTGATAATAATAATATCATTATTATTGACTATTCCAACTTTCCCACTATGAGCAACCCTTCCTTTAGAACATTGATTTAGATGCTGCTTTGTACATTACTCTTTCTCTGCTCTCTATAACTTAACATATATTTTTCTTTAAGGTAAGAAAAGTAATACATCATATATTTGTTATAATAAAAATATAATTCCACTTATTACAAAACATCAAGGCAGAAAAATGACTATAATTAGCAATATTCCTTTTATTGTTCAACATTAAAAATGCGTTATTTTGTGGTGTCATTATATACTTGACCATACTTAAATGTGCTTGTAAACTGGGACAAAGACTAAATCTGCTTTCAAAGAGTTTAATAATACAAATTAATAATATATTTCATCTGTAATTTATATAACATTATATTACTAAAAAAGTACAAGTGGAAAAAATTAATATTTTAGATTGCAAAAGTATCATCCAAAAAGTTGAATTATATACTAGGCAGTTCTGTTGATTATAGAAAAGTTATATCCAGTAATTGCTGCCTGAGTTAAGTCTATATATTTGACAATCCAAACTATGAGTATCTGCATGACATATTCTTTCCTTCTCTCTAGCATTTGGAAACAGGCAAATCACAGTATCTGTTATCCATTTTCTGGTATGTATAATATATGTGTTTGCTATTCATGCTATAATTTTGGTACTATGAAGAAAAAAAACAAACGGTATTGAGGATTTGCCATGTAGAAAATATGATATATATTTCTATAATATACATAATGATATAAAATGAAGTAAATATAATGACTTACTATAATTGAGTCTTTAGCTCTCTAAATTTAGAATAATCAAAATGTTGTATCATCTTTAACCATTGATTAGAATTATTTGAAATACAATAAATATTTGAAAAATATATACTCAGTGATTCTTCCCACTGTATGCAAATTTACCACCCTATAAACTTCCAAGAGCAAAAACTTTTTTTGCAAATTTTACAGATAAACACCCTAAAAACACTTAGGCATAATCGTTAATTTAATTCAAGATGAACACAGATTTTGGTTTTTTTTTTAGTAAAACCGGGCTCTTTCTATACTATTCTGACTCAATTTCTTTATAGATTGTTCTATGTAAATAAACATTTACATAGGTTGAATTGTATGAAAATCAATCTGTGTACACAAGATTCTTGATTATTTCTAAAATGTATTAATTATTTCATTTGACACTTTATTTATTTTTATTTTTTAGCTTTTTTAAGCTCTATAACTCCTTGCTTTCATTCTGTGTTTATGTTTCTTTCATCCCTGTCCTTGATAATTTAGTTAACCCCCAAGATTCATACACAAGTTCACATTTCTTGCAAGGGTTGTATTAAACAGCTTTTTTTTCAACTATTTTATATAGGTCATAAATCACCCACCACTCTTTGTAAGGAGCTCTCACATGACCCTCTCTTGCTCTCTCACTCTCTATATATTTTTAGTTAATAGTTTAGGTAAAAAGGTCCTCCACTGTGTTTGCTTTGAAGGGAATAGATCTTGTTTTTTTCTTTTCATCATATAGTTTGACATAGCAGGAGCTCATTACTTGTTTGAATAAATGGCACAGATAATTTATGTATTTGGAATTTCTTCAGAAATATATTGAAAATATATCACAGCCGTGTAATTTTCCAATTGTGCATATTGTTAAAGGAGAGTAATTCTATGGCTCATGTGTTGTAACAGCATCAGTGTTAACCCCTGTTGTATTAAGTCTAATGTTCTCATATTAACTACTCAGTAAATAGAAGAATGAATTCACAGATAAAATAATAACCACCTATTTGGTAGTAATTTCAGTATGTTTTAGATTAATATCAGATAATTTTTCTGGTTTTTCATCTCCTTATGATGTCCACTTTTTCAGAAAAATTGACGATTATAATTTTTTCTGTGTAATTAAGACAATTCCCTTTTTATATAATATTTTTTATTTCTTCCCTTTTCTCAAATATAGTATGGCTATGTATGTATTTATTCTCTCTTCTCAAACGTGTATGATACTACTACAAAAGCAAACTTTTAATAAAAGTCCTTTATTAAAAAGTTACATTATTATAAACATGTTGTAGTACTTTTCTTACAAAGTTAAAAGGCGGAATTAGACATAAGCAATATTCTTATAGCTTGCATTATGCTTTTTATTCCCCAGAGACTTAAAAATTATGCCTTCTTATTACACTACTGATTTTCCCTGTCCACATATCGCTTTATTAATCAAGTGTATTTCATACAGTGCCCAGGCAAAAATTAATAAAGCACAGGATACTAAATTAAACAAATAATGATAGATGATAGAATAGACTATGTCTATTACCTAAAGTAGGTAAGTATGATAACTTTAATTCCACATTTAAGCAAGTAACAAGCATTTTTTATTTCAGTTATAGGTTACACAATTTGATAAATTTTATATTTCTATAATCTACAGATTTAAATATTTTTAAAAATTGAAAGTAATATAATTAAAACTTGTGCTTTTAGTTTTAGATAGTATAATATTAAGAATCTGTGAAAACCTTATTTAAAATGAAAATATTTAATGTAGTTATATTCCATAGGAAAGCAAAGTTTAGAAATAAGATAGAAGGGCCACTGTCACTCTCTTACACATGTAAATTGTCATGAGAAATCAAGAAAGCTTGTTAGTCCTGAAATTTCTTAGTCATGATAATTGTTAAATCATATTTAACTTTCAAAAGTAATATATGATATTAAGATATTAGTGTTAGAAAGATGAATCTATTATAAGACATAGTAATAACAACAAATTAGTTGATTGACCTTGCATTTAAACATAGAGAGGCCTGCTATTCATTGTAAGCAATTTAAAGTCTATTATTCAACGTATAATAACAGAATATATGTGCATGTGCATTTGAAAGTTATTACGATTACTCTGTGTACAAATAATTTTGAAAAAATAATCAACATATGTCAAGTCCAATGCATTGTAAATTATATTCTACTACATACTGTTTATTGTAATATAAATTAACAGTAGATAGTACAATCCATATTGTACAGAATAAACACAGGAAAAATTTATGGATCAATCTTATATATTATGCAATTCAACCAGAAAATACCTAGTTTAATTGCAAGTGTTATTTTTTTTGCTGATAAAATGTTATGTTAACTAATTTTCTTATTCTTATTTTTGACCTTTGTGCTGTTTTAATATAAGAAGAAAGAGGTATTATTCATTTAAAATTGATTTTGGCCCTGTTGTTATGTGGAACCAGATTATCACCTAGTAAGAAAATAATAGAAAAATGTTGAATAGAATTATGGTTAATTCTCAGGTATTCACGTCAGATTCATCTATTTTTGTAAACTATTAATGGTTATAAATTTATTTTAATCTCCCTCTGCTTTCTACTGCTCTTCTGAGTTTCCTAATATATTAAGCAAAATATATTGTAAGAAAAACAAAATAATTTACAATGTGTACATAATATTGTAAACTCAGGTTCTTATTTTGTGGAAAATTCTTTGATTTTGGTGAGTTGTTTTTTTTTTTTTTTTCTGTTTCTATTATAGTCAAAGGAGTAGTCTCTCACCTCTTCCTTGCTTGAAATTCTTTCTAACTTTCGACACAAGATAGAGCCTTCAAATATGTTCAGCTATCACAAATCTACAGCAAAAAATAAGGACAATCAAATACAGGCAAATTTATAAAGACATCAGTAAAACTTTCCACACAAATTTTAGGTGCAATGTTGCTTGTCTCATGTAAATATTGTTAACATATTTTGTAATTTTAGTAAACAATTATATTTTTTTCTAGGGGCCGGTTCATCTACCAATAAATTTGTGATTATTATAAATCTATCCAGTGTCTAAACCCTACATGCTGTTTTATTCATGACTCATTATTTGGTGAAACAATTGATGTTTCAATATTTAGTTTTGTTGTGGTAAATAAGCAGGAAGAAGAAAATATTTTGATGGCTGAATAAGCATAAAACTATTAATAATCTCAAAACAAATGTTTCATCAAGACATAATTTCTAAACTATAATTTTTCACAAATTTTGGTAAGTTAATTTGATTTTTAATAAATATTTTATAATATATTCTTTTTTGTGTTTGGCACAGTAAGTGATGGAAAATAAATATGACAAGCTGTCTAAGTTGAAAGACGCACAAAAGATAGGACGACCAAACAGAAATGTAACAAACCATTAATTTAGTAATTATGGGTTTTGTAGTGCCGACAATTTCTGGAAATGAAGTCTAGAGAAGTGAGATTAATGTAGGATAATCTGGAGAAGTTTTTATTGATTAAATTGGAAACTAATATTACCACAATAATTTTATTGGGTAAACATGATGTGCAAGGTGCTCGACTTCATTGAATCATTATAAAGTCTCTAAAGACAGAAATTAACATTTGCATTTAGGTGAAGAGATGAAATTCCAAATGTGGAATTCACTTAATCTCTCATACATAGTAAATGAAATATGTGGCATGTGAGCACAGGTTCATGCAACTGAAAGCCTGATACTTACCCACGTTCACATGTAAAACTTCCAAAATAGTATTACCTGAAAATTTAAAATTCCACTTTGCCTCCTTAAAGAGAACTTAAGAAACCAAATCCTTTTCTATAATTACTTTGTGCATTTATGTTGGTATAAAATTTGTATTTGTATTGTTTCCAGGATCTTTAAGTATTGATTTTATATTTGGTATATTTGTTTACATTATGTCCTAAATGAATTAATTTATCGAAATTATTTTATTTGTTTATTTATTTACTTTATTGTATTTCGGGCTCTTGGGTACATGTGCACATCCTGCATGCTGTCTCCATTCCCTCCACCAAGTCCTGTTGCCTACATCAGGCATTTCTCCTGGTGTTATCCATTCTCATCCTCCTCACCCCCCACTGTCTCTCCCCTCCCCTTCCCTCCACCCCCCCACCTAGCCCAGTGAGTGTTGTTCTCTTCCCTGTGCCCAAGTGTTTTCATTGTTCATCACCCGCCTATGAGTGAAGACATGTGGTGTTTGGTTTTCCCTTTTTATGTCAGTTCACTGAGAATGATGGTTTCTAGATTCATCCACATCTCTGCAAAGGACATGAACTTGTTTTTTCATGGCTGCATAGTATTCCATGGTGTATATGTACAACAATTTTATTTTAAGTAGCATTTTTACATAACAGTTCTGGATGATGAAAATGGTTTAAAATTTTCCCTTTCAATATATTTTTCCCCTACAATTTAGAAAGCATTGAATTATATGACACTTGGTCTGTAAAACATCCAGAAATTAAAGTCCATAAAACTATTATTATATGTGAAAAAATGCATACAGAAATGGTTGAAAAGAACTAAACCGGATATAATCTATGAGATTAACAACATTATAGGTACTGAGTTTAATGGGTACTCAACTTTGGGGATATGGTAAAATTTAATGACTCTAAACAAGAAAGATTTTGAATAACATACTCAGATATCAGTGTCAGGGTATTTATATGTTGTTAAATCAGATAAGGTATATATGGCAGACAAAAAAAGGGTCTTACCCTCACAGGACACATGTTGCAAACTGAGAACATTATTAGTCCAGAGGGTGGTAAGCCTTTGATCAGATAAGGTATCCGTGGCAGACAAAGGAAGGGTCTTACCTCCCTTAGTCTTGTGTCTGCCATATATACCATATCTGATTTAATACTTGGTGTTAAATCAGTTAAGGTATATATGGCAGAAAAAGGAAGGGTCTTACCCTCACAGGACACATGTTGCAAACTGAGAATATTATTAGCCTCAGGAGATGGTGGTAAGCCTTTGATCTTGGAGGGACATAGTGGTCTATTAACAGCATCAACTGTGAGAGTGCATATAATCAAGAGGTCATGATGACAGATAAGCAGCAGTTTTCTTTGTGTGGTAGCACTGCTCACAATAGGTTTTCTAAACCGAGCTGATGCTAGTTGGAAATCAATCACCATTCACGAGAAAGATTTTTGCTGTTAATGAACTCAGATGAACATAAACCTATGCCAAATTTGTCTTCAGCAAGGGTTGCCACTTTATGGGCTGAAAATCTCCCCATAGTAACAAGTACAAAGCTGATTAACAAGACAGTTTAGACTTAATTATTAAACAGTGTGAAAGATATCTTCAGAATTTCTAACTTGCTGTGACTAATTTTTTTTATTCAATATATGCCAGCAACAGCTTTTTTCATCGTTATAATAATAAAAATCTTACCTTTATATTTAAAATAAAATATATGTCTTTTGAATCTTTGGGATTAATGTTTTACATAGATTTTGTATATCTGTAGGATACATTTTATTTTTTAAGTAGGCAGAGATGTATATCACGCTGAAAATGTTTAAAACGTTTTGCAGATGTGTGAAGCTGGGAATCATTTCATCAATGTAATGCTGTCTCATCCCAATCACATAGGTTAGAACCTTTTTCTTTTTTTTTCTTTAGAGTGAACTATGTTAATAATTATTTTTATAACCTTCAAAAATCTTTAAAAATAAAAAAAATTAATAGCTGGAAATATGTATGCCACATTTTCCCTTTTATGTCTAACTTTTCCAAATATTTGACCAAATCATAGTCTCTAATAATGATTTATCTAAAATAAAGCGTGCCTGCGCACAATCAGCCTCCCCATATAGACTAGGCGCCGGCAGGGCTAACTTCCCCATCGGCCCTGGCCTGGAGGGCCCCATGGCCGCCATGAGTGCGTTGGAGCCACACCACGTGAACGGATCCCTGGGCTCGGCGACATGGACGGGTTGCCAAAGAGCTCCCTCGGCGCCGTGGCCGGCCTGAACAAGGCCCCAGGCACCCCGCGGGACGACGGCGAGATGGCGGCCGCCAGGACCTTCCTGCACCCGTTCCTGAGTGAAAGCGTAAGCGACTGCGTGGACTCTCCCCCCGCGGCGGCGTCGGGCCGGAGGGGCCTGGCGGGCAGGCCCTGGCGGGGCGGCCGGGGGGCCAGAGCAAGACCGTGACCGCGGCGGGCCAGGTGGAGGGGCGGCCGCGGCATCTTCCCCTCCTCCCAACCTCTCTCCATCCCCCACCACCTCCCGCTCCTGTTTCACCATCCAGATCCCCTCTGTTCCCACCCCGGGACCCCCGCCCCAGGGCAGCCTCCCCACGCACTGCCCCTCCCCCATTGCCTCCTGTCCCCGCCCTGTGTCTGCCCAGGACCCAGCCCTACCCTGTCCCTCCATTGTCCCCTGGGGTCAGGTCCCAGCCTCTTCCGGAGCTAAGCCCGGCCCCTGCGCGCTGCCCCCTCCTCTCTCCGCAATACTCCCCAGGGATGACCATGAGCTTGTGATGGGGCGGCAGCCCCGGGCCTCTGCGGGCCTAGGCTTCTGCCCAGCGCCCCTGCTCAGGGCGAGGGGCTGAGGTCGCACCCCAGGCACCTGGACTCCTGGCCAATCAAGGCTTACCCAGCTGGAGGCCCCACATGAAAGACTTTTATCATTTTATTAAAAACGCAAGGACCTCAGAGACGTTCTTTTCTGTATGGATCCTTCCTGCCATTTGTATTTTGTTCCAGAAAGAAGGGCTCTTTGAGGGGGGGTCTCCTCTCCCCAGGACGTCAGGCGGGGGGCCCCATCAATAAATGGAGCCTGGTTTTGGTTTAAAAAAAAAAAAAAAAAAAAAAAAAAAAACTCACTTAAATATGTAAATAAATGAACTAATGAATAAAAACTAAAGTGGTATAAAATTACTTTGTGAATACCCAAATTACTAAACTCTCAATATTGATCTCCTTTGCACAATACTTGCTACAGTCCCACTATTTCAAGTAATTAAAAGAATTTTTTTTGTAATGAGAGTGATCTTTCATTGAAAAACACAATGGCACTCAAGTATCAATGCTTGGGAGAACATTTCAAAGGTAGTAGTATATTTAGGCTAGTGCAAAAGTAATTGCAGTTTGGACCATGAAATTTAAATGATTGCACCATCTTTCCCAGCCTGCCATGTGAATTCTAACATTTCTTCTTTGCCTATTGTGGATCATTACTTTGTTCACGCTTCCAGGCACATACTGGTTTTGTGTTTGTACAATCTTAGCAGTATATTTAATCTTATATTTCAGGAGAGTTCTCCAAAAACAAATCAAATCTTTATTCAATTTTATACTTTTCCCCTCTTTTCAAGCACACTCAGATTCCAATGCCATATGTATTCTCCTATAATTTGTTGGTTCATGCTGGCTAGGTTCTGCAGCTCCTTTGAGGCATTATCTTTTTTGTTCTATAACAGATCCAGAACACCTCAGGTAATTTAAATTGTGATATAACCCTAATTGTAATGGCTAGAAGAAAAGATAGAGACCTTCAAAGGGGTTTTCTTGAAGTGTAGTGTCTTCTGTATTGCTTCTAATGAAGGGTGTGCTCAACTTTCATAAGGAAGAGTGAGTCACCTCTGCAATCTCAAGGAGTTTATGAAAACGTAGACATTCCAAGATTTGGTGATTAAAAAAACATACTTGACTTAGCATCGATCAGCATTGGATTGGAGTTGTATATTGTTTAGAGTTGGACTACTTTTGCAATTCAGACCTGGACGTGTTCCTAGGCTTTCTCTGCCCTCTCCAAGCCTCTTTGCATACTACCTAGGTGGGCCTGCAACTTTCACAGCCGGCTTTTAACTGCCAGTGATCAGTTTGTTTTAGATGTATTTGTCTAGCCATTCAATCCCACTTGTAATATTAGACCAGATAGAATATTGTTTTCAACCACTGTAACATAACAATATACCAGTAGTAAAAAGCTTTTACACTTGGATTTCTAACTTGTACCAGAAGCTATCTGCCTGCGCCTACCATCAGTTATGGAGTACACATTGCAGGCCTTTTGGAAAGCCATTCAACTCTCAAATACCATTCCAGCATCTGCTTTTTGGGCCATTCCTGGTCCCAATTATGTAAGCTAGGTTTTCTGAAATGCAGATGCCAGGATGGGGGCTAACATTCAAGACGACTGTGAAGGAACAGTTTTATGGAAAGAAGAAATAAATCATATTAACGAGGAAAATGAGAGCAATATAGTCTCAACAAGTCTCCAGCGATTGCATGGGACATTCTAAAACTGAGAGGAAAAATCTACGTTCTCCTGAATTGAGTTAATCAATTTTCAATATTGATGAAATACTGTATTAAGGCTAAACCAAACAGTGAGTGTGACCTTGGGTGAGGCTGCTTCCAACTATAGGGAGTGCTGTGAGTTGAAGGTTCTCTGCCAGCAACAGGCCCTGAAGCAGCAGAATAAACCTTATATGCCTAAAGAAAAATATGGTGGTGCAGCATTTTAATGTAAAAATCCTCCTGACTTTAACTGAATAGAGGTTCTATTATAATACACCATAGGTTGAGAGAACATTTATGAAGAATGTAAGCATTAAATAAGTAGCTCCTAAACTTATTTATTAATACAGTTAACAGCAACTATGTACACTTGAAACAATATTATCTATATACATCTATTTTTCTGTGACATAAGGCATTTTCATTATTTAATTTACAAACTGCAGCTGGAAAAAAATTAGATTTGTAGAACTTTGATCGTTCCACACCTCTAGGGGCTGAACAGTCATAAACTGCAGGCTTTAAAGCAGACTATTTCTGGAACTTTCTACCTCTGAAATTCAATGACTATAACTTGAGTAGGATCCTCAATTATCTTTCTTTTGATTAATATACAGATGTTATGCAAAGGTGTCTACATAAATGCTGTAAAAATCAGTAATATCAAAAGACCTACATATTTATTTTTATGAACGGTATGTAAAATCTGCACAATACTTAGCATAATTTTTAACTTTGCAGTTTTAGAAATTGTTATAATTCTGTAAACAACACACTAACATTTCATTATGACTTTAGAGTTATAAGTAAAAGAGATTAGCTGACTTGTTATCTAAATAAATCTTGCTATGGAGAATAAAACAGAATTTTATAATTCATATTTACTTTCACAAATGTCGTACCTCCAAAGTTCAACTTGAAATCATTAAACATTTGTTTTCTAAAGTGTTTCTTTAAAAAAAATTGAAAAAGGAACAATAACTAACAAAAATAAAATGCCAATATATGAAGTGTAATGAGAGATGTAAACATCAATCCTGATTGCTGAACAGAAATGTGGTATTTCAGAACATTAATTATACTGATATTCAGTGTAACCCTTCTATGAGAGGTTTCATACTTTTATGGTATAAATGACATCTTTATAAAGTTCCTTATGATTTTCACCAATTTGATATAGGGAATCTTGAGGTATTTAATAATCTCAAACAAATACATCAATAGTAAAGAGAAATGTGAAGAGGTGAGAAAATGTTAAAACACTTTATAATTTCAGTATGTAGTACTATTTCAACTATTATAAAATAAAATAATTTACATATATTTAAGATCTTAAAGAATTGATTATACATATATATTCTGCAATGTTACAGGAACATAGCTATGGACATGATGTGACAATGACAGCTATTTTATTTGACTCAAAAGTTTATAACATTTAAAACTGGGTCTCTTCTGACTAATTTGTGAAATAGGTTGCTATAAATCCGTGATGACATTTCATCGGGTTTATAGTTGTTTTGGAGAATTTGGTATTATATAATAAGCATATGATCAGATTTGCAATATGTAGCATCATTGACATTTTACTTTCCTTTACAAAAGGAAACAATGCCTGTTTCCCAAGTCCAAATTATAACCCCTTCACGTGGATGTTTTTCCCGGTTTCATGTCCTAACTACACCTATGAGGTATGCTGTAAATACTTGAATTCTATTTATGATATACTGTATGCATGTACTTATGTAGTTACATATAGTATAAATTAATATATACAAGAATTGAGGTCCTATCTATAGATTCTGTTATAGGAAAATAGAACATTTCAATAACAATTTTCTCTGCAGAAACGGGAACATTTCTGCATAAGTTTATCTGTATTTAAAGAATATTTTAAACTCTTCCTATAAAATGTCAAGATATTTTAGGAGTTTCATTTTATCAACTGTTTAACAATGTCTTTTATTTTTTTATGAACATGTTCCCTTTTTATGAGATTGCTTCACTTTATTATATGTAAAAATTAAAATGTTTTTGAAAATGTATTCCTACCTACAAGTTTTCTAATATTTAAGCCTTATAATTACCTATTAAAAGTCACAAGTGAACAAATTACTAGGTTACAGTTATGTATGTGCTAATTTAAGTTTTAATATAACAGACTGGATCAGGGATTAGTTTCACAGTCATGACACAAACACTGCCAGGTAAGACCTAGATTTACTGGCAATTAATCAAAATAAATGCATCTTTAGGAGAAATGGTTTCTGATAAAACGTTATGATAGTACGACAGTATAGCATGTTTGCAAAAGGATTTTATAGTTTCATATTGATTTTGATTTTTAGCAGTTTTAAAAAATGTTGAACTATTATTGGCTCTTTCTCTCTGTATAATTGTTGCTTAATCAAAGCTACGAATTGGAATCCACATATATAATAATATATAATATATATTATATAATATAATAATAATTATATAATATATAATATAATATACATATTATTTATATATATTAAATAATACATAAGCAATGAGTTTTTTTTTTAGAAGAAGTTTTGATAACAACATATTTCATTTGAAACTTTTTTTTCAAATGAAAAAACGTGTATGTGTTTTGTCTTCAAAGGAAGAGTTGGGGTGTGTGAGAGTTAATCTTGAATACTGAGTATTTTAACACACACTAAGAAGTTGAATTGCATGACTTTCTTATAGTAGTAGTGACATACGTCTTGTTCATTTTATCCGTTTTGTTATATTGCTTGAAATTTTGAATCACAATTAATATGGTTTATTATATTATGTGCGTGTAGAGGAATATTATATGCATCTAGGAAACTATTATTGAAAATTTAAAAATACAAATATATATCCTTATTTGGGAAGTAGTTTGTGGCAATGATATATAAAACATGTAGATTAATTTTGAACTTGATAACGTATTTTCTGTGTTTACTTACTTACACTATTGATTGGCTATTGATAGGGAATGGGTGTGAATAATGGAAATTCTTATGAAATTACACAACATTTGACAAACATCTTAAAAGTTAAACATGGTAGTGATCCTTTTTCTAATAGAAATTTATTTCATAGAAATTAAAAAGAAATAATTATTTCTTTTTTTCTTCTAGTTGGAATTTTTACACTTCTGATGAGTATCCAGAGGTCTTTGTGGGCACAAAAAAAACATAAGATTTATCTGAGAAAATTCAATTCATATATTCATAGAAAATCAGCAATGATTTCATTTATATTGTAAAAAATAACTTATCTTCTAAAGAAAACGTAAATTCAATATATAAATTAAATAAACAAGACTTAGTTAAGGATAGTTAACTATTATATTTCAACAATTTATGAGCAACCGTATTTTTACTAAGTAAAAATATAAGAGTAAAATTTCACTAAATTTAGAGTAATACACAAGGTAGTAAAAAGTAAAAATTACAAATACAATTAACTAAGAACAGCTCTGGATATATATACATGGGATTGACCCTTGAATAAAATTGTCTTCAGTAATACTTCACTATACTATTTGCATAAGACAATTAAAATATCACAGCAAAAAACAAATCTAATTAAAAAAAGAAAAAGTAATCTGAATAGACGTTTCTCAAAGGAAGATCTAGACACGGCCAATAGTATATTTTAAACATGATGAAGATTCAGAAAAAAGTGAACTCTTAAACACTGCTGGTGGGAATGTAAACTAGCAACGCCACTGTGGAGAACAGCATGGAGTATCTTCAAAAATCACGAATAGAACTATCGTATGATCAGCAATACCACTACTGCACAAAGGAAATTTGTGTATTAAAGAGACATTTGCACCCTATGTTTACTGCAGCACTATTCACAATAGTCAAGATATAGAAACAACCTAGGCGTCCAAAAATAGATGAATGGATAAAGAAAATGTGGTACATATACACAATGGAATACTATGCAGCCATAAAAACTGAATTCCTGTCATCAAGACAACATGAATGGAACGGGAGGACATATGTTAAGTGAAGCAAGCCAGGAACAGAAAGTTAAACATTGCATGTTATCACTTATATGTAGAAACTAAAAAAAATTGCTGTCATAGAAGTAAAACATAGAACAGAGGACACTACAGGCTGGAAAGCTAGGGTCAAAGGGAGATTAGCAAGAGATTTGTTAAAGGATACAAGGTTACAGCTTGGTTGGAGGAATAATTTCTGGTGTTCTATACCACTGTAGGATGATTATAGTTAAAAGCAATATATTCTGTATAGTTTCAAATAGCTAAAAGGAGATTTTATGCCCAACACAATGAAATGATAACTGTTTGAAACCATGGATACCCTAATTACTCTGATCTGATCACTATAAATTATATGTATTGAAACATTATTATGTATCTCCCAAATATGTTCAATTTTTATGTGGCTTAAAAAATAAAATTTAATTATAAAGTATCTGAATTCTAAAGTAAATATGTTTTTAAAGTATTGACATTTAAATTACTTGAATCTCACATTATTTTGACAATAATTTAATTCTTTTATTGTTTGATCTATTAGAGAGTTGTTTCATAATTATTATGTCATTAGTTCAAATCCTTGTAGAAATTATATCTGTATTAAAAGCAAAATATTTTTATTGATTTGTATATCTTATTTATTAACTATATAGACATTGTACGCAATCATATAGGAATTCATAATTAAAATTTTTCTATATATGATTGTTAAATCTCTAAAAATATTTTGAAATATATATTTGTTTATATTCATATGTAAATTATATCTTCTGAAATGTATTTCAATAGATGTGTCTATATACTTGTGTTTATGTGTATGTATATACCCACATTTATATATACACACATTTATATATATATATATATATTTTTTTTTTTTTCAAAGGGATTCTATGCACTTGCTAAGGGAAAGTACATTAGTAATTTGAGGACATGAAGAGTAAAAAATTTTGTTTTTTTACATCTTTAAATACCTATGTTCTCTGAAAGTGTGTGTGTGTGTGTGTGTGTGTGTGTGTTTGTATGTGATGATGCATATATACTTAAGAAAGAGATGACCTACATAAATCAAAGAACACAATTATTTAAAATATTTAAAAGAAGTTTTCAATTTCTTCGTTTTTCAAATTGTGATTCTTTGGATTTGTTAGTCTTTGAAGCATTTTCAATCCTCAGATTACACATATGTAATAAAATATGCTCATTAATGCTCTTAGAGTGTATACACATATGACAATATTGACCTATGGTAAAGTAGGTCTATATGCACTGGGCAGGGACTGATTATTGCTAACAAATGAGGCCATTCAAGAATAACAAAAAGCCCCTTTAAAAGCCTTATAATTCCCAAACTGTACTATTTGAATAGCTGAAGCATAGTATCTAAGATATTTAGTGTTAGAAGGAAGATACATGTGTGATAGAAATTAAGTAATGAAGGATTAAGGTAGAAAAGTATAACAAAATAAGCATTTTATACCTAGCAATTGTATATGTTGAAATAGAGTAGAGTCTAACAATAGAGTGTAATTCTACAGAACATGATTTAGCAAACTAGAGTTTATAGACCTTTCTAGTCTACAAACTGTGCTCTATAAATAAAGTTTTATTGGAACACAGTCAAAGTCACTTATTTATGTATTATCTGTGACTAATTTCACACTGCATCAGTAGAGTTGAGTAGTTGTAAGAAAGACATATGGTTCATTTTTAAATATTATAAATATTTACTATTTGTCCCCATAAAAAATTGCTGACCCCTAATCTACATGTATGAAAAGCACTGAATTAAATATGTCTTGTTTGCTTTGTGGATTTATTATGTTCAAAGTTTCTTACCCAATTATTTATCTTCCAATATTAGCTAGAGAGCTAAAACCAGGCTTATATTTGCTATAGATATTTTATATAGCAAGTGATAAATTTTTACTTGTATTATCCAGTGTTTAATTAGACTATTAGAACACTTAAAATTTTTGTATGGCCTCAGGTTTACTACTGAAATTTGAACTTAAACAAATGTGGAAAGAATTACTAAGTGAAAGTCAGAAAGGTAAGAATTGGAAGAGAAAGAGAAAAACCTCATTTATTTATTGGAAAAAAAAAATGAAAGCAAAAGCCTGAGTCACTGCAGCAGTTGGGCAGACTTGAGTTTTAAGGCAAATTACGGAATCTGTTCATGTCTGTCTCTCAAAATAAAATCATGAAATGAAAACTGCTGGATTCATCTATGTAAGTTGCTGCCTTTGAGGCCATTTGAGTAAAGGGTTTGGCTGGTGGATTGTGTCCACTGTTGGCTGCCAGGATCAGCAGTTTTAAAGATTGTTTAGATTTTGGGCCACACTGGATACCTCTATGTCTTTCTCAGTCTGTTTAGTTTCTGAGATTTTTGATGATAATAACCTCTTCTTTATTTCTGACTTTCAGCTCTTATTCACTTTTCTATTTTGGTGAAGACATGAGAGAGGAATTCAGAAAAATCTAATTTCTAGTGTGGACCAACTTGGCAACTATTGATTATGCCCACAGATTGAGACATTAATTAGGACAGGAAACAGCTGGGAAGGTTTTTTCCTACTCCACCTGGCATCTTATCCTTTGGCTGGATAGCCAAACATGATAGGGTGAAATCACCTCAACAAAGATATTCATTTACAGGTCTGGTGTTAAGTGTTGGGAAAAGTCAGAGAGTTAAGGACTGGGACTGCTAAAGCTCTGGAACAATATTGTTTATATGGTCTCTACATGTGTTTTCTCCAGCATGGAGGCTTCATGTATCTTACATTAAGCTCAGGGCTTACACAGCACCATACCTAAGAGGATGAAAAGGCACATGGAAGTGCTATGCTTTTTATGAACAACTTTCAGAAGTGACATAGCTTCATTCTGCCATCCTTTATTAAAATGAATCAGTTACCAAAACACCACGGGTTTAGTCTAGGTCCTATTTCTGTCCACACAGAAACCCAACCATTGAGACAATGAGCATTGCCAGAAAAGAAGGCTTTACTCACGTGCTGCATCTGAGAGGATGGGAGATCAGTCTCAAACCCATCTCTTTGATGCTGGGTAACCCATGTAACACGCACTGCACCTTCAACTCATGCAAGTTCAGCATCAAAACTTAGAAGACCTGGGTACGGGACAATCTCCCAAGTGCTAGCCTCACAAAATCTAGGTGAGAAAGAAAGCTGAGAAAGTGAGGAGGTCCCTCTCATCCCAAACTCAGCTTCTACTACACAGGATATATATATATATATATATATATATATATATATATATATATCCAACAATACTCCATAAGAAGTGTTCATGGCCCTGTTCCTTTCAATACATGGAAAAACTAAATGAAAACAAAAAAATA